TGTTAAATTGTCCTTTTCATCACAGAAGAGAAAGACTTATCAGCAGATTTTGTCTCAAAGTTCACACTGGGTAAGCCTTTCTTTCAGATAAATCTGATTAGAAATTTAATTTGACTACTAATAACAGTTGTCATGTAAACACGAACAAATACTTGTCTTTTCCTTGTTTGGGAGGGGTGAGGGAAAAGACGAGATTAATTTTAGTCCTGTAATAGTGCAAGTCAGGAATTTCTGTATCACCATGCCGTGACCCTGAATAATGACATTTAAGCACAACAATATTAAATTAAAAAAATTAACATTTTCTGAGGCAAGATTCCCCTAGCATTCCTTTTAAGACAGTCCAACACAGGAAAAAAAAAAAAGCAAGTGAGAAGGGATTTTTGCAGATTCATTTATGATGGATCCTGGGTGTAATTTAAGTTACACACTTTGTACTCTGATTTTCAAATGTCCTTTCATGCATTAGTCTTTAAAAGTCTGTTATAACAACTTGTCGGGTGCATAACAGCAAACTTGCTCTATGTATACCATTCATAGCAGAGCAACAGAGAAGGAACTGAACTCTACTGCAGAGTAGTACTTGAAATGTAACAGAATTTACTGTGAGATCTTTCAAAATGAAAAAACAATATTAATAAAACACCTTGCACATTTATGGCACTGATAAAGCAAAGTCCAGCCTTTCTAAACACACTTGTAACATCTTAATTTTCTTCTGTGTATACTTTAGAACTAAGTTATAATTGAATACAAAGTATTTTTTAAAGTGTACCTCAGTGCACACAAGTTTATACATATATACTCACATGGTTAAAATTCTCAGTCAGGACTTTGACATACCCAGTGTTTCCAGGGAGAATACAATCCCATAATATAGCCCGAAATAGAGGAACATTTCAGATTTTTTCCCAACTGCTTACTGTAGCTGGTCAGGGTGTTTTAAGCCTCAGTAAAAACTACTAGAATTTCAAATTTTAAACTTTTCAAATTTTGCATTTAAATTTCAGGGAACACTCTGGGATCGTAAGCTGCTGGACTAAAGGCAGCTTTGTGGATAGAAGAAAAGGCCCACTAGAAACTCAGAACAGTTGGGAACTTTACTTTTGCATCACCACCTAATTATTATCAGCCACTATCCCATAGTGAGTTAGCCACAGATGAACCAAGAGTATCATGTGATAATTACCCTGAAAATTATTTTTTTTTACAATACACTCTTCGTCGGCCCAGATACCTTCTCCTCTACTATTTTCTCAGCACTGCTAGTCATGCTACTCCTTTTGCTCATTTTATTTCCTTCTACCCCTCTGTAAAACTTATCACCAATATTCCTTTCTCTAATTAATTTGATATTTTGCCATCCTCCTCTTACATCCCCATAAACAAAACAAACCCAGTCCAAACAAAGCCACATACTAGTTATCAGATTTACTTCAATGTTTTACTACTTTTCTTCATTTGTTTGTATCTCTGTAATGCAGTGCTTGAGACATGGAATACTGTCTTAGGAGCTCACACAGCAAGAACTTAGTCATGTTTTGAAAACTATGCTACTACAAGAATACCAGCATTAAATAAAAATTAACCGGTAACAAAAAACCCTGAAAATTTCAATTATAATTAGATCATAAAAGAATCCCTGTATGCCGCCAGGTGCTCTAGTTAAGAGGCTCTTCAATCAAGGAAGCACAATCTTTATTTTGCCATAGCTGCCTATAAATCCAAAAGGGAGATGTAAACATACATACACTAGACTAAACAATGGCTAAATAGCAGCCACTATTCACTCTCCCACTCACACATACCATCCAAGTCTGTGGGAAAAAACTTACAATTGAAGCTAAGGAACTCAAGTAAAGTTTTCTGAAAATAACCCAGAGCTGACAAGTCAGTAGGAGGGCCTGGATGGTTTCAAGACACAGTTTTTAACCAAGACTTGGACCTCCAACTGTTTTTTTTTTTTGTATGCCTTTTTTTTTCAAACAAAGATTTACATCCCATCCTTGTCTAAATTACTTATAAATTAATCAAAGTAATTACTGAGCGGATAAGCAAGACACTGGACAAGACAGAGTGAATGTCAGCCAGCCAATATGGTCTATGTTGTTTTAAACAAAAGCATCAGTGCTGGCTTTAACAGATCTGTTGGGCACAAACACATTAAAAGATTTAAAAAAATATTTCCCACAGAACACTGAATAAATGTATGCATGCACATTTTGAGAGTTTGGTATTCTAGATTATAACAGAGATTATCAACTGCTTAAAATGACATTTCTGTCAGCTTTTGTTTTTGTTTTGATGCATTGTTTCTTCCACTCAGTCAGGTACTGACTTTAGCATCCAAGATCTATGTAAGCATGAATGTAATTTTGTGTAAGTGGTTTGATTGCTCTTAGAAACAGTGCTCACATACATAAAAACTATGGAAGTCTCATTTGTGTAGCATTGAGATCTCCCAATCAGGAAACTCTGAAAGACAGTTTTTGAAACCTCTGGAAATGATAAAATCTACCTGGGTGCACAAATACATAGCTAACTTGTTGACATTTGTCCTCCTAAAGCTGAGAAGAGGTATAATAAATTAAGTATTAATACAGACTTGCACTGAGTAACAAAAAGGGAAGAAAAGTAAGCTGTGTGGAGTCTATTTGCACACAGCTTTACAAATGGTGTTTAAATTGAGCTAACTTCTGTATTCTGTTAAGCACAGGTAAGCATGACGTATATGTGTCCTTGTGTAATTCAGATGTTCTTTTGGTTACCACTGGCACTGTATTCAGTATTCAAAGTCCTAGACATGTAGAAGCTTAGAGCATTTTCTATTAACAGTCCCATACTTTTCTATGTACTGCATATCTCATATTCTGCAAAATATAAAACCATCACAGATGTGTGCTACAAACTAGTTCCAAAGTAAAAGGAAATATTTTAATTAAGGAAACATTGACTTTTATGGTTGCAAATCAGAAGAGCATTTTACTAAATGCTTACCCTGTAGATTATGCTTCCTTAATTCACAAATTGACTGTACTAGGTCACCTTTGAGTAATGGAAATCTCTGTTTAAACATTTTTTTGGCAATGGGCACAAAGCATTAGATCTCATTTCCAAGACTTACCAGCTGGGTTTTGTCATTAACATTTATTAACAATCTAAGATATGGCTTTCAGCGTCTAATCCTCACTACACAAATGTTTTGTATAGCTCTCTAGAGAGCTTTGGTGTGACAAATTACTGGCACAGATTACAGCCCTGTGGCTATTCACCAGAAGCAATGCAAAATTAACATGGTACTAATCCAATTTAAACAAGAAATTGGTCAAACTATGCACAATTGCACAAATCATCTGAACTAAAGCAAATCTAGAATTCCTAAGGCAACAGTTTCCAAATTTATATTTAAAACACAGTAAATGGTTTTTGATCAGCTCTGCTTCAACTTTTATTCGGCTCTTTAAAGTCACTTAAATCCTTTATCAACAGACTAAGTATGAGATGAAGCACAGGAGTACATAAACCACAAGAAACTACTTTGGAAGGGTTTGTTCTGTAGGAGAAAAGTACATGCCAGCTTATTTTGTAGTTCTGACTTTCAGCGTGAAGGTCAGCTGAAACCATCTATGTATGTTACTAAACTCAGATTGTCAGGTCTAATTTATAACAAAAACCTGATAGCGATATACACTAGTGTTAATCTGGCAAGCAACAATCTTTCCTTATTCTAGAGGTATTTTTAAATATTGCAGTAAGAAAAAAAGCCTGGATATTTTACGACTGCTGAATATTTTAATTGGAACGATAAGACTTATATTCTTTCTTCTATCACTTTGTCAAGCATAAATGTCTCAGAATTTGGAGATGAGAATTCATTACTCCTTTTATCACTGTGCAAAAAAGGGCCAGTTTGAAGACAGCTAATAAAGATGAGCTTTTAATAGTGATTATACAGCACATTCACTCTCTTTCAAAGGGAAATACAGATTAAAAAAGGTAACTATCAATTAGGAGAGGGTGGGCTTAGCTTTTAACTCTCCAAAACCTGCATACTCCAGCAGTAGGAATGAAGTAGGAACTATAATCCCTTAAAAACAACCCAAACACTTTTCCTTAAGCAGGAAGTAGATGTGAATACAAATAATGTAAACCTTTTACTAAACTTGAATTCTGAAGCTTTATGTCTGTGTCACGATTTGTTCAGCAACAGGGATTAATGATTTACTAATTTGTTTGTCAAGGCCAATGAAAATGCTTGCCATTCTTAAGTATACTATTTAGCTAATGTTTACTATAATTCACGAAAGACAGGTGATGACAAGTAACACAGAGGCATATGGATTCAGTGAGGATGAAGCTGCTACTCCTTCAAATTTGAACAGTGTATTTTCAAGTCATATATGTATAACTATATATATATACACACACACACACACGCTCTGTTAAAACACAGCAGTAAAAAAACATGCCACATTAGCATATGATTAGGATTTCCAAAAGCAAGAAAAAAGTTTAACTTCCAGCTTAAATTCTCTTCAAGTTTACTTTGTTTTACAGCATTCAGCAAACTTTAAGCTGTTGTTTCTAAAAGCTAAGATTTCTTTCTCATCTTTACCCTTCATTCATTTTACAATTAAAATACAGAACACTTCCAATTGTAACTGACCAAGACAGTTGGGATGGGAACAAAATATTTTCTTTGCAAGTGGTCACTGAGCATTATTGAGAATAAGATTAATAAAGCTTTTCTTTTTTTGAATCATGCCTGCTTTTAGCTATGCCAGCCTTCTTTGCAGACCTGACCCTCCATCTTTCCCGAGTTCAATGTCAAACTCAAATTAGTTTTTTCTCATTTTTGTGAGGAGCGTAGCTCAGAACTTTAGTTTTGCAAAGACAAACACTAATAAAATGAAGACTGCCAGTAGTTAACAGTAATTATAAGTAGCTTCCAACACTACATTAACTTGGTTGTCTCATATGACAAAAGAAAACCTGCATACCTGTTTTAACCTTGCAAGTTCTTTCAAAGCCCTAGTCCATTGTTGTTTGTAGTGGAGCTTTGACTTGGTAGCTGACTCTAACTTTCTTTCAAGTTCAACCTAAAAGCAATTAAAATCATATCAGCTGAAGCAATAACAGCAGTTACAACCACTGAAAGATGTATATATACAAAGGGTCTGGTTTAAGAGAAGTGTTTATGTAGTGTAACATACAACATCATCTAAAGCTGTTATGTAATGTAACATAAATATTATGGCACATGAACATTTTCTTGTTTAAAATATAGCCTTATTTTTATTGGACAGCCGTCTATACAAAAATGAAAAGATTAGTTTTTACACTAAATCTGCAGATGTAACATTTAAGATTCTCAAATTAGCAACTCCCTCCGCTTTTTTTTTTAAAAGATTATGAACACTAATTTAACAGAAACACTGATGAATAAATCTTGCCTTTAAAAGGTGTGCAGATTTTTTCTTTCCTGCAGCTGATAGAAGATACGTACTACATTCTCTTCTCTGAAATAGATATCTTTCAAACTATTCTTTAAAATCTCTGTATCTAGTGCAAATCTTGATCTTACTATCTAAATAAATTTTTTAAAATGTTACATGTTAAAAATATTAATTGCATTCTGTGCAAAAAAAATTAGTATTAAAAGGCAAATGAAAACATTTATAAAGCACACAGAACACAGTAAACCGAAAAATGAAGTATTTTTAATTAACAACTAAGGTAGCGACATTTTCTTCTATCAGACAAAAATTATTTACCATTAATATAGTGAACATCTTAAAGCAATGATTTTTTTTTAATCTAAGAAAAATAGGGAATCTAAAAATATTTCAGCTAAGACTTCAAGAAGTCTGTGGAGAAACAAACATTTTGAATCATTTGCTTGCATTATTAGAAGTTATTGAAGCATTCAGTAACATGCTGACTGGCCATATAACTGTGCGGGCATTTTGTGTCAAGAAGACCAGACCAATTCTTTTCAGCTTATTAGGTCAACAATTTGCCTCAAACATCAGTATAATTCTGAGCATAAAATGCCTGTATCTGTGGTTTTAATTAAGCAAAATATCCTCTACTGAAGGCATTTACGGTTCTATGAAATCAAATTATGACAGGGATTCCATTCCACACAATCTCTTTTCAGAAATACTTCATAAAAAAAACCAATGTACATAATACCAGTCTAAATAAATCCCCACATGAAAACCTTAATCTTTATTTAGTTTTATAAACAGAATGTTCAGAGTCTGTAGCCTAAATCATTATGACAGCAATTTAAATATATAGGTTTTTTCCTGCCTTACCCTCTAACACTGCTGCTTCCTCCATAGAAATAAGACCACTGTTGGCCTTATTTGTGTCTGAATATTTAAAGTCTGAAGAAGTTGTTGAAAAAAGTAAAACAATATGGACAAATCAACCAGTTTATCATGCAAGATCATTCTACATCTCCCTTATCCGTGAATGGGACATTGTGACAGTTTTTAAAGACTAGAAAAATCCAACATACCTTTTCTAAAGTGAGAAGATTTATTTCCGATTGTAGCTGGATTTCTGGTTTGCTACTTTGCTGTTCTTTGTATTGCTGGTACTCCTTCTCCAAAATTTTATGCTTATTTTCTGCTTCATAAAGCTACATTAAAGTTATAAAGATAAAACGCAAGTTAGCAGAAAAACCCATTCACAGACAGAGAATTAGGTTACAGAACTTAAGTTACTCCTTAGTCCCTGGAACAAACATCTTCCTGGCAATTATCTGATATAACACAGACACTGAAAGATACACATTCATAATTAATGATTTCTTGATGATGGCATACAGCAATGTTTTAATAGGAAGAATTTTAAAGAGGATCTTTGCTCAGTACTGGAAAGAAAAAACAGGCTGTCCTCATATACAGAAGATCAAGATTTATAAACATTGCTGTTCACATTTCTAAAACGACTGGCAGAAGAAACTCAAAAACCAAAACTATTTAGATTTACACACATCTTTTAAAGAAAGCCAACAATGTTATCTAATATATGAAGTTTTATTACTTATTCAATTTCACCAACATAACTTGTTTAGGAATGTCTGGAAGAGGAAACAACTAATACTTTGTACAGCCAAACAATGATTTAGAAGAAAGGCTAAAGTAGAAAGACTTGAGTGACTAATGACTTAATACTATGTACCTCTGCCCTCACTGTGTACTTCCACAGTTTCGTGAAAGCATTATGAAGAGAGAGCTTGGCTTTTAATCTGAAAATGGGTAATCTGAAAAACTATTATAAAACACCAATTACTTCACAACAAAGAAACCATGCAAGTGTTTTACAGCTTTTGTTCATTATACCATATTAAAAATACTAAAACTTTCTTATAAGATGTTTTCTAGGAGTAGCTTAAGTTCTTCTTCTGTTAAATATTATTAAACTATAAATGCCTTAACATACCTGATGGAACTGATACAGTCCACCACAGAATATGATCCCAAACGCTGCACTTGTATTTATGTCCAACTAGTTACTGCAAATATTTCCATGAATTGTATGCAACAGTTTAGAATACTGGGTGAAAACACTTCAGAGAATTCATTTCTGTTTCAAAGCCTGCCACTTCTTCTATTTGTACATCAGCATTTTAGGTCTTTGGATCTCTTAACTGGAGCACAATTTTTCTTCCAAAATTTAACTTTCGCCATCTATTATTTTTACAGAATTGATCTAAGAAAGCAAAGATATTTCCTAAGGAGCCATACCAAATGTAGTTCACTGTAGTTACTCTTCACAAATAACCACAATAGCCAACCTTGGCAAAAAATACTATTGTTTGTCCCCTTTCTATGTTTACTGATGCCTTTTTAAAGCACACATACAGACATGATGCTGATGACAAAGACAGCAACCAATTTCTTCAGCTATGAAAAATGCCAGCTCTTCTTAGGACTTCTACAATGCTTCATTTCTTGCTCAGTTCTGAAAACACTTTCAAAAATTGAATTTCTCATGAGATCTCAGGTTGTAGACAGTTAGGGAACTGTACAAATCATACAAATAAAGCACAACTTCCTTATTCAGGAAGAATTATGTTCTTCAAGGTGGGCACATCAAGGATCTTCTCTTGCACATAATGGTGCTTCCGTCCAAACAAGTTAGACATTTCAAGAACTCTACAATTTAAGTGTGAAAACTGTGTATTGACACATCTCCTTACAAGGTAAGGAATAAGCCAGAGCACATTGTTTAGAACTATTATAATTTACTCCAGAACATTCCTTGTTAAAAAAAAAACGAAAACACCCGACCTAAAAACCCACACCCAAAAATGTAAAGAGAGAGTTCCATCAAAACTGGTAGCAACAGAAACTTTCTGCTTGTGGCACATTATAAAGGAAACCATCCTACAGTGAGACTCCAAAAGAAACAGACAAAAACCCACCCCACCTCCAGCAAAGCATGCCAAAATCTTGTCTTGTGCAGAACACCTAGTAATAATTACCTCATATTGAAGCATGAGAGAGAGTCAAGACAGCAGGAACAACACAAACAGTCAGGATGATCAGCTAGAAGGAATGGCTTTCATACAAAGGAAGACAAAACATAGCAGGGCTTGTGTTTGGAAGAGAGACAGTATGATGGACACCTAAGCAATCAGGAATGGTATGTAGCACAGGCACTAAAGGCTTCTTCCTAATTATTAAGCAACAAGCTTAAAACGAACAAAAACAAGTTTTAGAATACGCAACACATAATTAAATCTTAGACCTCGCTTCCACAGGATGTTTCAATGCTAAAAATAGAAATACTTTTTAAAAGGGATCAGACAAGTTAATGAAGAATACTTTCACTAATGGCTAGTAAATATGAAAAGCTGCCTCTGGCAGAGGGTGGATGTAACTCTTGATGGTATTGCTGGATACATCTAAATTATATTTTCTTATTGTCCCATTTCTTATTTTCCTACCCTCAAAATCCAACCACTGCAGCAAGAGAATGCTGAGCTAAGTGGTTCTTTGGTCCAATACCATATGTCCATTTTGAATGGCAAAAATAAAGTGGTTGTCATGGTATTGCACCCTAGCTAAAAAAAGTCAGTGGGAGTCAAAAGTATTAATTCGGAAGATGACTCCTAGGTGGTAGCATTTGGCCGCTTGAGCCTGAAGCACTACTGGCTATCTTGTCTGGAATAGTATAGCACTTGCAGCTGCCCACAACACATCTACAATGCAGAGGTGATCCACTTGTCACTTTGAAGTGGATTGCATTCTGTAGTTTGAAAGAGCTCATCTCAATTCAATGTTTGTTCAGTAGAATAGCCAAGATTGGCACCTTCTAGATTAGCAGCATTTTTTGTATTAGCTGTATTTGAAAAGGTCACTGTACTATGGTTAACATATGTTGACATGAAAAGAAATAGGTTAATATCAGTGTTTAATATTAAACTTAAAAACCCACAAAAAGCCAGCACAATTATTCCTAATACAACAGTATGCCTTTGGCTGATACAGTTCCTCACTTAGTCAAAGCTATTGTGGGATTATCACTATCATATCAGAAATGAAATGCTGATGTAGATAAATTACTTGCTTCTGTACTAAGTACTTTGAAAAACACTTATGCATTACTAAGATTTAATCTACTTAACAAAGTGTTTAATATTATAAATGCTCAAAAAAGCTAGTAATAACTTTCAAGATTTTATAGTATGCTTTAACACTCAAGAAATAATAGCTAGACTAGCCTTTTCATTAGTGCAAATGCTAGCTTACAGGACAAAAGGATGTGGTCTAAATTTTCTTGGTGTAATCAAACTACTGCTTTCAGAATAGAAGATCTCTTCCACAATATCAAGATACTACCCCCCCCCCCCTCAACTCCTGCCCAAGTAAGGCCAACAGAAATACTCTTTTGCAATGGAAGAATAAAACAAACTACATAGCCAAGCTACCTAGATGTTTCTCTAGCTTTTAATTGCTAAGAATTTATTAAGTTACTGAAATGTATACTGCTGTTCAGGTTCTACGTGTAACATATGCTTGTAATTGCAGTTTATTTTCAGTATTTAAAAAAATTATAACCACTTCATAGCAAACTGGCCCTATTACTGAGCAAGACTAACACAGATTTATCCTAGCAAGTAGCTCACCAAACAACAGAAATAAAGTGTTTATTATAAAGTTGCCAGAATGCACTTGCCTCAAAATCATTGCTCAATTTAGTATACTTATTTTAACAAATGCTTATTTAAGTAAGTAAATGATTGAGGCAGAAAATTTAAGTGTGCTTACCTGCTGCTGTAAGCGAAGCTTGTCTTCTTCCACCTGTTTGATTTTTGACCTTTCTAGCTCAACCTGGTGTGCACACTCTGCTCTAGCTCGCCGCACAGAATCCTGTAGCTCCTGCATATTTCGTTCATGCTCTGCTTGCAACTCCTTCTTTACTCTTTGAAGCTTAAAAGTGATACATATTTAAACTAAAAATCTTGCACCTATGGATTAATAGAAGAGTCTTTCTTACAACTGTTACTAATATTCTAACACAAAAAAATTGTTATCCATTTTAGAATTTAAACAACAGAAATTCCACTGTTACCTGTATGTTTGCTATATGCTCTTTTATCGGCTTTCAGTTTAACTAAGGACCTGCAAATTACTAAATTTGGGCTACAAATATACTCTTCCTTGACTATTGTAAAAGTGGAGCTATCCGTATCTCTACTATACTTTATACATGGCATTGCTAAAGGCAAGTTTTATATCCACCTTTCTACTACAAATTAAAAAGATAAACATACCCCTTCACTGCAGAAACAGTGAAGTCACAGCTACAGCCAAGGTGCCTTCACATCAGTAAGACTGCACTCTTCAAACTGAGCATACTGAGAGAATTTCTCATTGGGCTAAACAGGAAAACAGTGCTTGACATAGCTGAACTCTCTAGAAAGATGTTACTGGCCCAGGTAACTGCAAGCTGGATAGAAACCTCTCCAAACAGCCCACATCTCAAAATACATAACTGCTAAATGAACCCTACATAATTTTGTCTAGACAATTTTGGAATCCACTGATCTTTATTATCTCTAAACCCTCAGGTCAGATTATCACTAAATTTAGAGCAAGTGTTGAAACAAACACTTATGAGATTGAAAATAAACATTTTTACTCAGACTGAAACGTATTCAGCCAAACCTAATTACTAGATTTTTTGCACAGATGTCCAAGGTAAAGCTAGACTCTATTTACAAAGTAAACTGCATCTTGAGAGGTACAGAGAGCCTGGAGTACAAAACAGGACACAGGCTCAACCAGCCAGTCACTGTGTTGGAAGCTTTCTTAACCTTGTTCACAAGCACGGGAGGGACTGACATGATAAAAAGATTAATCTGAGCTACAAGAGGAAAAAAGAGAGTTTGTTGGACTGCTGAATCACCACAGCAGTTTACCTATGTAATTGTGAATTTGTTCTGAAGCACAAAAATAGGCAGTTTATTTTTCTCTCTCTTCCATAGTTTTTTTCCTCTCCTCTATATTTTCAATTTTCTTCATGGAAAAAGAAGGAAAGGTGACTGGTAACCAGCATGGCTTCACCAAGGGCAAATTGTGCTTGACAAACCTCGTGGCCTTCTATGATGGAGTTACAGCATCAGTGGACAAAGGAAGAGCAACTGATGTCATCTCCCAGAACTTCTGCAAAGCGTCTGACACTGTCCCGTATGACATCCTGGTGGCCAGATTGGAAAAACATGGATTTGACGGACAGACCACCTGCTGGATAAGGAATTGGATGGATGGTCGCACTCAGAGTTGCGGTCAACAGCTCAATGTCCAAATGGAGAACGGTGGCAAGTGACATTCCTCAGGGATCAGTACTGGGACCAGTGCTATTTAACATCTCTGTTGGCAACATGGACAGTGGGATCGAGTGCACCCGCAGCAGGTTTGCTGACAACACCAGGCTATGTGGTGCGGTCGATGTGCTAGAGAGAAGGGATGCCATCCAGAGAGACCTGGACAGGCTGGAGAGGTGGGCCCATGCCAACCTCAAGAAGTTCAATAAAGCCAAGTGCAAGGTCCTGCACATGGGTCAGGGCAATCCCAAGCACAAATACAGGCTGGGCGGAGAATGGCTTGAGAGCAGCCCTGAGGAGAAAGATTTGGGAGTGTCGGTAGATGAAAAACTGAACATGAACCGGCAGGGCGTGCTCACGGCCCAGAAGGCCAACTGGATCCTGGGCTGCATCAAGAGAAGCATGGCCAGCAGGTCGAGGGAGGTAATTCTGCCCCTCTATCCCCCTCTCGTGAGACCCCACCTGGAGTACTGAGTTCAGGTCTGGGCTCCCCAACACAAGAAGGACACCAAGCTGTTGGTGCAGGTCCAGAAGAGGGCCACAAAGATGGTCAGAGGGCTGGAACACCTCCCCTGTGAGGACAGGCTGAGAGAGTTGGGGTTGTTCAGCCTTGAGAAGAGAAGGCTCCGCGGGGGCCGAATAGCAGCCTTCCCGTAGGCTGGGGGAAGCTGGGAAGGGACTTTTCACAAGGGCATGTAACAACAGAATGAGGGGTAATGGATTTAAACTGGAAGAGGGCAGATTTAGACTAGATATTAGAAAAACTTTACTGTGAGGGTGGTGAGGCACTGGCACAGGTTGCCCAGAGAAGCTATGGATCCCCCATTCCTGGAGGTGTTCAAGGCCAGGCTGGATGAAGCTTTGAGCAATCTGGGCTAGTGGGAGGTGTCCCTGTCTGCGGCAGGGGGGTTGGAACTAGATGATCTCTATGGTCTCTTCCAACCCAAACCATTCTATGATTCTATATGACTATCTCCCCTGGGGTCTTGCACCCCATTTCCTCATCTTGGTGATATTCAGTGAGATCTAGAAACAGTGGTATCTACTTTTTTCTCCTTCATCTTCCTTGGCCCTGTCACTATAAAAAAAATTGAAATAGGAACTCTCTCAATTGCTGGACAACAAAACCTGGAGAATTTCAGTTTCTCCCAGCTCTCCTTGTCACCTTCTCCTATTTCAATGGCTGATCTAGTCATTACTGATTGAACTAAGGCACTGTTGTACACATGTAATGTTCACCTGACAGTACTAAACTTACAAGTGAGATATACTAATATTTTATAAAAGTCTCCACTGACACTCTAATTCTGTGAAGAATAGAAAATGTACAGTTCTGTAATTCTAGAAACCCATTTAAAAGTTCACCAAATTTCCATTTCAGTAAAGAAGTATAGTTGTAACAAAACCTGGCTTATTAGTGCTCCTCTGTGTATCGGTATGAACATGGTTATTTCAGTTCTCATACAGTCACAATTGTCTCTGCACGTAACCACAAACCTTATAGAAATAGCTCAAGTAATTGTTATGTTGAAAGTGACCAAACACTCTTTACCTCTGATTCAGCACTAAAAAGTTGTCGTTCTCGCTTGTCTAGATCTCTCAAGGTTTTCTGAAGTTGTTCTTCCAAAACAGTATATTCTGCTACCTAAAAGAACAAACAAAGGCTTTGTTCTTGCAATAAAAATAACATTTTAGGCAGGTGAAAAATTTACTCTTGCTACAATATAAAATATTGACAGTTTTTGTTTGGAAATTTACATAGAAAAATCTCCATCTCTTAATGAAGACATCACAATGGAGAGCCTTTCTCTCTAATACAGTAAAGGTTAACAGGTTACCAGGCACAGCTGGGCTGTAGAAGTACTTTTTGACCATGTGTCCTGGTTTTGGCTGGGACAGAGTTAATTTTCTTCATAGTAGCTTGTGTGAGGCTGTGTTTTGGATTTTTGCTGAGAAGGCTGGTAACATACCGATGTTTACAGTTGCTGCCACAACAGTCAACTACTTCGCTTCTCTGCTGTGCCAGTGTCTGCAGGTGCAGGAGAAGCTGGGAGGGAGCACAGACCCAATTGCTAGCCAGGATTCAACCTTATGTATAGAATTGAGACCTAAACTGGCCAGTGATATATCCCATATCGTGCAGTTCACGCCCAGCATATAGATGAGGCTCTGTGTGGAAGCATGCTCTCTCTTCAGGTCATCTCTCTTCGGGTCACCCCTCTCTCAAGGTTGTCTCGCTCTCTTGGTCACCTTTCACTCTTGGGCTCTTATGTCCATTCTAGGATTACAGTTTCAGGACTCTCCCTGCTCCAGGATCATTAGCCGGGAACAGGCTGAGCCTTGGTCACTGGCTAGTGAGCAGTTTCACCGTGTACCACTCATTTGTGTATTTGTATATATTACTATTATTACGTTCAAATTTATTGCAGTTTAGTTAAATTGTTCTTATCTCAACCCATTTTTTTCTTTTCCCTTTACCCCTTTAATTCTCTCCCCTCATCCCTGGCAGGGGGGAAGGGGAAGAGTGAGTGAGTGAGTGAGTGCTTGTTGTGTTTTTCTGCTAGCCAAGGTCAAAACCATAATCCCATGCAAGTGAAAGGCAGTTAAAATTTAAAAGCCTCCAAAGAAAGCAAGCTAATCTAAAGGGTTTCTAACAGGTATCCTATGATTATGGGCTACTTTTAATTTTTTGCACTGTTGTAGACTAGATGCATGCATACCAGTAGGTGTGAAGACTAATCATAGACTCTTTGCTCCATGTTATAGTTATGAAATATCTTGTAAAGTTTTATAGTGATATGCAATTCATAATGAGATTTTCAGCAAGTATGAGTTTCCTTACCTTCTTCTTCACTAATGCTTCTCGCTCTCTATCTCTTTTCTTCCATTCTTCTGCAAGTGCTTGCATATGAGCTATTTCCTTCTTTTTAAGCTTTCAAAAGCAAAAAAACCCCAACCAAACAAAAAAACACAATCACAAAAACTCCAACTCAGAAAACCAAGTCAAAATCATTGGAAGTGCAACTTTAAAGGAGAGAGTATTAGCAGAACTAAGCCTTGAAGCAAAATAATTAAAAACTAAGTTTAGTGCACTGACATATATAACTCAAGGTATGATTCTGATAGTGAAAGATGTTTCTTACCCTTACATACAAAATGCAAAGTAAGCCCCAGCTTGAGAAAAATACCCTAACAAATAAACACTAGATTCTTAGTATCTCTTAAAAAAAAAAAAAAAAAAAAAAGTAAAAAAAGCATGTTATTCTAAGAACACCTAGAATGACTTCAACAGCAGAAACACAGCAATGGATTTTGACTGAGAATAAAGAAATGCAGTGTTAGTATTAACACCAGTAACGTCAATCCTGAGTATCTACTGTACTTCATAAACAGTAAGGGGAATATCGTGAGGTGGGTATTCTGTATTTTACTACCTAGCCCCTACTTCAATCAGTTAACAGAAAAGAATTAAACTTCTTCCTCAAAAGTATGGAAGATATTTGTGTACATCTGAAGTTTTCATATTCTATATGAGCAAAATTTAGTTCTTATTTGAGACAGTGCAGTTTAAGAAATAAAGTGAAAGAGTAAAAACCTGATTTTCAAAAATGTCCTCTTGCATTTCCTTCCACATTTCTAACTCCAGTGCTGCTTTGTATTCAAGAGTTTCTCGAGGTTCTGGATGGCTTTCTGTGGTACATTGAGGGTGAGTGTGAGGCACGTGCCGCTGTTGATCAGCACCTACACACTGATATAATAACAGTGAATTTTTAACTGAAAACCCAACTTTTCAAAGAAGTGTTCAAGGAAAAAGGGTAAGATTTATGTAAAATTTACTTGAGAAGACTCTGACACCAGAACTTCTTGCATTTTCACAAGCCCATAGTCTTCCAAAGTGATAGCATACGAAAGCTCTGCTATCCTGTTTCCTGACCTATAAACAGTATTACAATGTTATTTTAAAGAAAACAGTCTTAAAAAAATACAGAAAGTGAATTGTAAGTCAACACACAAAACAGCAAAGTTGAAGTGCTAAAATGTTCCATGTAAGCTCAGAGACACTAAACAGTTGCCTATGTGAGAGTCCAAATGTGACGTCCCATGTAAATTGTTTTAACTTTGGAATCAATTTATACATCTACCATAAACTTTCTGACTTCAACAGATCACTTGTAATTGGGAACCTCTTTAACTAAAACCTTACTACAATCAACACATGCCTGAAACAAGAGAATGATCCCAAACTGCACATGCAGTCTTAAATACCTCTAACAAATACACATATTGAATACAGGTATTGCTGCTGACTTTGTTCTAAGACACTCAATGAATTTCATTAGTCTTGCTTTTTTAAATGTTAATAGTAACTGTCTAGTTATCCACAGTATTAGTCATCACTTAGCATATCATGTGCCAAGCCATTCTTGGATTACTCAAAAACCACATTTCTGGAAGCTTCAGCATACAGAACTAACAACTTTAAATCCATTTACAGGTTAAATAGCTATCTGCTCTTGTTCAGTGAAAAAATGTCTAGACAACAGACATTTTAATAAACTAATTTGAAATTAGCTGCAGTTTCTACTTAATTAGAACAGTTTTTCTCTGTCTCATCTCTAACTGTAGAGAAATTGTAGTAAACAAAGGTAGCATTTCTGCACAAAAAGATACTAGGAGACAATACACACAAATCATGCAACTGAAAGTTATCACTAGTTTAACATGAAAGTACACTGCAGTATAGACCTGTACTTGGTCAGAAACATAACTGTCATTTCAGTTATAACTACTCAACGATGCAAAGGCAATTACACAATCACTTGAAACTTGGAAGCTGCAGAATTAGATATCAAGCAATTTGCAACAGAAGGCTGCAGGAACTAACTATGGCTGTAGTTTTCACAGAAATTATCTTCCAGCAAACATAAAACAACAACACTATTTTTTAAAAGGTGCAATCTTCTACACAGTTATTTGCAAGGGAAAAAAACCCCAACAAACTTTCGTACCTCATAAGTTAACATGAATTACTGCATTAAATTCTTACAACTTTGTATCAGTCACTGATTAAAAAACAAAACAAGAGTCAAGGTAGTGGACTTAAGAAATCTGAGTAATAAAGTAAGTTTAACATACCACTGTAAAAAGAATGTTACACCAAAACCAGCAAAGCTAGAAAGCTATCAGCACAGCAAAATCCAGAGACCTGATTATATTTTGAGAATGCCATCTAGTGGTTAAATTTTGTGCAAAACCATGTTTAATTTTAACAAACTTATTATTGGTGAAAGTGTGAACCCTAATGTACAGTCAGATCATAAAGCAACTTTCCACAGAATCAGGCCATGCTGGCTTTCACACAAAAAAATGTCAGAGATCAATTTTCTATCAGTTTTGGAGGAGGAGGGAGGATACCTTTGTGTCTTTGTGTCAATAGTCTGAAGTTTCGTGTGTGTCAAATATAGCATGTTTTAATTATATGTAGGATTAGAGGTTTGTTTTGTCAATCGACGGGGATAACACAGAGGACAAAGCCGCCAAAAAAAAGTAAACTTATTTTTACTTA